TATGTATGATAATTACGCTTACTTTTATTCTTTTTTAATGTTTGCTGAAGATGGTGGTAATATAGACTGAATTAGCAAGGGTTGGTGAGGTTTATCGGGGTTTATCGATTATAAAACAGCCTCCTCTGGAAGGGTGGGAAGCACAGCCCAGTCCTCTGAGTTTTAAGCTGTTGCTAGTAGAACTCTGGCAAATAATTTTGTTCTTGTAGTTATTTGGGTTTAGGGCTAAGCATAGTGGGGTATCTAATCCCATTTTGGGTCTTAGCTGTCCTGTAGTCAGGAAATACTAAAGTCACCTACGTAGTCTATTTTAGTTATGGCTTTTTACAGCTTAGTTAAAATTTAACTTCATTTTATATCACTCTTTAACACACTTTACACCGAGTTTCCATTAATTGGGGTTAATTATATGACCACGGTGGCTGGCAGAAAATTTACCAACCCTAGTTCATACAACTTAGTCGAACTTTGGTTTGCGGCTTAATTTTTTCTCACTGCTGTTTCCCACGGGGTGTGGTTAAGCAGGGCGTGACGGGCCGCCCATGTGAGTGTGCTGATGCCTGCTCCGTTTCGTCTTAATGGTTTAGAGGGCATTCTCACTGGGGCACAGATGCTTACATGGGAATTTTATTAAAAATTTATAGAAAGGCTGGGACCACACCTATGTGTTTACGGACTTGGTAAACTCATCTGGGCATTTTCAGTGCCTTGCTTTAGGTTTTAAGCTACACTAACAAGCTGTTTTTACATAGTGAAGTAATATGTATGTGGTTGGTTTATGTCGGATTTCGTGTTAAAATTTTGATAGGAGTGGTCTGTATAAATGGTAAATATCTAAGTAGTTGATTGGTGGTATGATTGGGGTTTATTTTCTAGGTCTATCTAATTCTGAGCATTCAGTTCATGTTTATCGAGTATAGACAGCTAAGTCCCATGTATTTATATGTTTTAGCCTTGTTTTGGGGGTTTGGCAAGGCATTATAGGCATGTAGAGCATGGGATTTAGTGGGGGGTAAAGAGGGTTTGTTAAACAGGTCATTCATCTGTTTACTGCATGTGTGTGTGTACGTACGTGTACGTGTGTGCATGTGTGTCCGTAATTTCCTTATGGCCTGTAACCACTGATTGAATAACACCTTATGGTTGATGATGTTGGTAAATAATATTCAATTAAAGTCCAGCTACAATTTATTTGACTGTGTTAAGGCCTCAGATGGCCATAGCTGAGTCACAGCATCCCTTTAAAAATTAAAAATTAGCAAATGCATGAAATCACAGTTATGTGTAAGCGTGGCCTGATTAGTCGTTGGTCCGACGAGATGTCTTATTTAAGAGGAAAGAGTGGGCTCTTTCAGGTGAGATGGCCCTGAAGTGAGAACCACTTGTCTGATAAAGTTCATTAGTAGAAACCGCCACAAGTTACGGGCCTGGAGCGAGAAGAGGGACACCCCAAGCGGGTTGACGGTTTCACGCAGCCTGCTGGTTACACTTGTGATCTACTGGATATGGTACACACGTTGACTAGAATTGATTTGACTTAATGTGCTATGTACTGTCAGTAAGATAATGTACATGCTTATAAGCGTGGGGTAAATAATTAATGTACGATTGTACATATAATGTACTGTGTACTGTCAGTAAGATAATGTACATGCTTGTAAGCATGGGGTAAATAATGCACATTATACATATAATGCATTATGTACGATATGGTAATAGGTACATAGTAATGTGGTAGTGCATATATGCACGAAGTACATAGTAGTTTGTGGTAAAAAGAGGTTATTTTAATACTGACATGGTACTTAATAATCTTGTAAATGTCCCGTAACAAAGTTTCAGGGAATGGTTTAAGTGGAATTTCAGTTTTGGGTGCTGATGGTGGATCTGGAGCCTCTTCCTTGAGTCTTAGGGAGAGAATGTTATTCTCCTTTTCTGGTTTACAAGACCAGGGTAATAGATATACTACAAACACTCTTCATTTCAGGAGATTATTTTCAGTGATGCTAGTTACTGACATTAGTACCCAAATTAAAAAGAAATATAAAATAGATGCTAGTTGTCCGATAGTAATGAAGGGGTATTCCACGGGTTGTCCTCCAATTCATGGTAGTGTTAATAGGTCTGCTACTAGTACTCAAAATAGGTATCGGCTGAGAGACCGAAATGTTATGCTTTAGAGGTCAAAATGTTATGCTTCGTTGTCTAGATGTACGGAGCATTGGGATGAGTGGTAGAATTAAGACTGAAACGATTAGGGCCAGTACTCCTCCTAGTTTATTGGGGATTGATCGCAGGACTGCATATGCAAATAGGAAGTACCAGTCTGGCTTGATATGGGTGGTGTTTTGAGAGGGTTTGCTGGGGTGTAGTTATCAGGGTCTCTTAATAAATCGGGTGAAAATACCACTAACATTATTAGTACTAGAAGTAGTGATGAGGCACCTAGATGTCTTGGATTGTATCGTAGGGGTGAAATGGAATTTTGTTACGTCAGATGAGATTCCTGTGGGGCTATTAGATCCTGTTGCGTGAAGGAATAGTAAGGGGACAGCTGTTAGTGCTGTAATAATGAATGGGAGAATAAAATGGAAAGCAAAGAAGCGTGTAAGAGTTGCTTTATCTACTGAAGAGCCACCTCAGATTCATTTGACAAGGCTTGTGCCGATATATGGAATTGCTGAGAGGAGATTAGTAATAACTGTTGCCCCTCAGAGTATTTGTTCTCAAGGTAAGACATAGCCTATAAATACTGTGGCCATGACTGTAAATAGTAAGATGATTCCAGTGTTTCATGTTTCTAAAAAAGTATAGGATCCATAATAGAAGCCTCGTCCTATGTGAATAAATAGGCAAATAAAAAATATGGATGCTTCATTTGCATGTAGGTATCGGATAACTCACCCATAGTTTACATCTCGGCAGATGTGTGTTACTGATGAGAAAGCGTTATTATGTCTGATGTGTAATGTGTTGCTAGGAATAAGCCCGTCAAGATTTGTAATACTAAACAAATGGAACCGAGATCTCATCATGATGAAATGTTTGATGGGGCTGGAAGATCAATAAATGCACTGTTAATAATTTTTATTAATGGGTGTGATTTTCGGATGTTGGTCATTAGTGTTCTTATAGTTGAATAACAAGGATGATTTTTCACGTCATTGGCCATGTAAGAATAATGATAACATACACTGTATTTATTTTAAGTACTATTTTTTGTAATTAGTTTGGTGGGGTTTTCTTCAAAACCTTTGCCTATTTATGGTGGACTTGGGTTGATTGTGGGTGGTGGTGTTGGTTGGTTGTGGGATTGTGTTGAATTTTGGTGGCTCATTTTTGGGTTTAATAGTATTTTTGATTTATTTAGGGGGGATGTTGGTAGTGTTTGGTTATACGACAGCTACAGCTACTGAGCAGTATCCTGAGGTTTGAGTTTCTAAGAAGACTGTTTTAGGTATATTTCTTTCAGGGTTGATAATATAATTTTCAATGGTATTTTATGTTTTAAAAGATGAGGAAGTGGAGATTGTATTTCAAGTTTAACAGGCTAGAGGATTGAGTGACTTATAATACAGGTGATTCTGGATTTTTTAGTGAAGAGGCTATAGGAATTGTGGCGTTGTATAGTTATGGTGCTTGATTAGTAACTGTCACTGGTTGGTCATTGCCTATTGGTGGTGTAGTTATTATAGAGGTTACTCACGGTAATTAAATAGAACTATGCTTAGGGTGAGGGTAAAGAGGAAGGAGAGAAAATATAGTTTGATTAGGCCTTTTTGGTCTGATACTAGTGTAGAAAATGTTATTTGAATGAGGGAGGTAGTTTTTTGGTAAAATACTTCCTAGTTAGATTAAATCTAGGAGGGACGATGCTGATATGCTTCTTCCCATATCTAGAGTTACACTATAACAATCATTGATCTCATGTAACTATATATCATCATTTCATCAGAGGCTCAGTCACACATTTGGTAATGCAAGAAACAACAATTTTGTAAAACAGGCAATATAAAAAATAATATAGCTAGCAGTATTAGTAAGGTCATATGTAAAAATTTAAGTCAAGAACTTCCATTAGGTGCAGCCCAGTATATCCCAGTTCATCTGACTTAGTCTGTTGTATACCAGTTCTTATCTTGAAGGGACATTATATATTGGCATTGTCCACAAGGCACCCAGCCCAATTTCCTAGTGTTACTAGGCTGGTTATCCCTAGTACAGTTTAATTTCCCCAACATAAGGGAGCCTTTAAATTTAAATGACCATAGCCTGGTGTTAACCTTCCGGTTGCAGATCATGGAGCATCTGATCTTAATCCAAAGATAGATTACTGAGTTAAGCTTCAGAAACAAATTTAGAGTGTCCTTTTAATAATTCAATTAAACTTTGCAACAATATAACATAACAGCAAGGAACTATCTGAGAAGTGAGTCTTAGTGAATACAGACCTCAATAAACAGAATTAGAATTTGATATCCCCTGAAATGTCTCTTTCTCCCTAAAATTACCCTCATTTTTATCAGATATCTCCAAATCAAGATTAATTTGTCTGCAAATTAAGTTTGATAAAAGGCCTCCCAAGGCCAGGAAAGCCACGCCAAGGGCCTGTCACAGATTTTGCCTTATAGATTTAGGTGAATCCCTCCCTTTTTGAGGTCCGCAAAATAACCTGAGATTCCTGCACCTGTTAGGAGGTGGCTTTACTAATTTATCTTATACAGCTGCTGGGAACCTAAGAGTTTGCAATCTCTGGAGGGATCAGGTAGAAAGAAAAGAGAAGTGTTTCAATTCTGCTTACAAAGGTACAATTTACCAAATTGCTACAAGTCATAATTAGTTTGAGGGGGTTTCTTTATAGCTGGAAAACACAGATTAAAAGCTAGTAATGTTTCAGACAGAAACCATAAAAATTATAACCACGTTCATCAGTTTACTCAATCCTATGTAACTAATCCTTTTTGTTAACAGTTTCCATTAGACTGTTAAAAATATCTTACCTGGGATTTCCCCTGCGGTCCAGTGGTTCAGACGCCAAGGGTTCCATCCCTGGTCAGGGAACTAAGATCCCACATGCCTCGCAGTGCAGCCAAAAATAAAATAAAATAAATAAATAAATACACAAACAAATAAATAAATAAAAGACATAAATAAAATAGCTACTCAAAAGGAAAAAGTCTTACCTAGTTTAGTAGTATGATTTAAAAGTTATCAGAAACCTTACTTGTCTAAAGCCCTTTCTGTGAATCTTCTTGAAGATGAAGCAGTTTTGCAAAGCATCAGTTTAACTGCCTGTGAATGACGAAAAGTCTTAAAAAGGCAAGGTTAACAAAGAAGCTTAACCAAGTTTCTGTCACATACAACATTTTAAGATAACTAATATTATAACAATACCAGGACATATCCAAATTTCAGAAACTTTATATAATTTCTAGAATGTGTATATTAATACTGTTTATCCATCCAGTATATTCTAAGTAGGTTTATCACTAGTGTGATAATGCTCTCCATGTAATTTAACATACCAAATACTACTAGTTAAATATTTCTCTCTGAAATGCCTCAGAGACCCTCTAAAGTGTCCCCAGGTTAGCTGGAGGTCAAAAGAACTTTAATTAAAATTTGGTATTTGGGAAGTTTGTCAAAAGGTCTCAAAACACTTGGTCAAACAAGATCATAGGTCATTGTGAGATAATGCTTATTCCTTAACCAAAGTTACAAGAGATCTCAAAAGCAAATACAGATCACTTAAAGGCACGGAAACTCACACAATCTGTTATCAAAAGCAGCATTCCAAGGAAACTTTGTCCTCTTACTAAAGAGAGAAAACCAGATCCAGTCTTGTACCAGCCTGCTTTTAATAACAAAATTCACTTAATTAACTGTACTCTATACCTAGCCAATCCTGACCATCCACAAACCCTCCATCACTTTCTGTATCCATATTAGTCTGCCCCCCATTCTCTTCTCCACTGAGAAACAACCAGCTCTAAGACAGACTCACTTTCTTTTCCTTTAATAAAACGCAATTCCATTCTCATACCTTCTTCACTGCAAATACACATCCTACTTTCCTGCTGTACACTGGAATGCTTCCTTTATTATTTCTATTAGCTTTAATTACATGTTTAAACTAGAGCCCTCAACTCTTAAAAACCTTAATTTCTAGTGAAAAGTAAGAGGTAAGCAATTGTGAACTTTTTTTTTTTTGGTTGCATCGGGTCTTAGTTGCAGCAGGCGGGCTCCTTACTTGTGGCATGTGAACTCTTAGTTGCAGCATGCATGTGGGATCTAGTTCCCTGATCAGGGATCGAACCCGGGCCCCCTGCATTGGGAACGTGGCATCCTAACCACTGCACCACCAGGGAAGTCCCAGCAGTTATGAACTTTTACATTAGCATTCTGTAGATTGGTAAACATAAATACTAATGAAAATTTCTAAAAACATTTGCTTTCTTATAGAGAACATCTCAGGGTGGCACCAAACATGTTCATTAGTAGTCCTAAATACATTTAGTTTCTCTGTTTAGTAATTGATGTCACAGTATCTTATTTTATTTGGGAACCACCTAGCTATTCAATAACTTCCATCACTTAATTTAGAACAACTCTAAATTTCAAGTATATTTCCAAGTATCTGGAGAGATTATTCTCACGTAGACATTCCTAAAATATAATTATTCCTAAAAAGTTCACCCAAAAGCTCTGATCTCACTTGTATTTTAATTCACTTAAAAAATTTCATCACACCAAGTTATGTTCCTTGCTGACAAAGTTACAACAGATATAATAAGATCTTATTTGACTTCTATTAAACCTAGGTACAATAAAGGTATTATACTTAATGTGGATGACAAAGACATGTCTATTTAAATTAACAAACTTAAACTAAGTTTAATACCAGATATTAATTTAATACTGAATATTTCCCAGTTTACATGAACCTGAAATTAATTCTGACCAGTTACCTTCTGTATTTTTGAAAATTTATATAAGCACTAAATTTCCCTTAAGCCAATTAAATAGAGCTCATTAAAAAATTAGGTCTGGTAATAACATCCAAAGGTAAGGACATATATATAACGCACACAGATATACAGACAAACACAACCAGAGATCTCAAAGCTTCATTTTCTAAACTTAGTTAGTTATGAATCAGGTATTATAAAACTCACTAGTTTATAAATAATGGTTGGAATAAGTAAAATTTAGAAAGCTTTCCTTCCACATTGTTTTTTTTCCCCTCGATCTCAGGAATTAGAGATGATCTAGATCAGATAAGTGATCCTGAGAGCCCTGGTCTCAAGGCACAGGGCGAGAAAAGCAAGTTCTCTCAGAAGGAGTTGTTCCCTCAGGGTCAGAATTCTGAAAAGACGTTTTATCAAGCTTCCCTTTTCTAACTGTATATGCAAAAAGAACCAGTTTGGAATTTTCAAGAGTTTCACCTAAACCAGTTTTCTCTGGAGTCTGAAGAATATTCTGGCCACCCAGTGTTATAATAGAATATCATCTTTTTCTTAGTCATAGGCTCACAGCTAAAATCTTTCCAGTCAGACAGAATTCTCCCAAGAGGGCTCTGCAGTGGAACAGAACCAGAGTTTCCCATTTCATAAGGCAGAATGGCCATCACAAATCACAGCACAGGACACAGAGTACGAAACACACACAGGCACCGCTGTCCTAATCAGACACCCCCTTAAATACAAGGTTGCAGTCTCTCAGAAAACCTCCTAGAGACAGAGCACTTCAGCTCCAAGTACTGCCGAACAGAGTAAATGGAACTATCTCAGGTCTTCAGAGATTTCAAAGGGAGGAAAGGAGGGCAGTTTGAAAGAAGAGGGGAAGGACGGGGCGGGGGGGGGGGGGGGGGGGGGGGGGGCGGACAAAAGGGGTGGCCTTACGGACATCTCCTGCCAGGTGTTACGGGACTTTTCTCTGGGCTTCCAGGAAGGGAGGACAGGAACTCGGCCCTACCAGAAACTAGATACCAGATAATTCAAGTTCTCTGCCCACCGGAGGTGATCAGGCTCTGGCGCTCAGATAACTGAAGCCCTTCCACCAGACTCCTGCATCCAGAAGAAAGGAGGGTGGGATAGGAGGGGTTGAGAAGAGGAAGGGGAGAGGGAAGGGAAGGGCAAAGACATCAGCGACGTCTCTTGTTCCTTACCTGGGCGGGGCACTCTGGCCCGTCATCTGCGTCAGGAGGAGATCAGAGACAAGAGGGTCCCAGTGGTGGCCTCTGGGTCTGGTCCGTCGGTAGGTGAGCTGGTACCTGAGCAGTCAGGATGTCAGTCGTGGTAAAGAAGAGATTCCACCAGAGTCGCCAGCTGTTGCAGGAAGGGAGACCCCTTCCAGGGCCCGAGAGTGGGCTCTCGAGTTCTTAGGGAACCATTAACCAAAACCGCTCGCCTTGGCCAGGCGCGATGATAGCCTCTTGCCTGAGGTGTCTCACAACAGGAGGTCCTGAAAAAGAACATGGTGCTGCTGGTGAAAACTAACCGGGAGGATTTGGGAGGGGCCAAAAGAGGGCAGAGACGACCAGCCTCCCAGAATCCTTTGCGCTGGGATCCATCTTGGCTGAGAGACGCGCACGCCACCAGGAAGGACCCTGAGTCAGACCATGGGCCAAGCAAGATGCTTGGCCAGAGACAACCTGGAAACTAACCCCATCACCATAAAACCTGAGACTGTGAGCCACGTGGCAAAGCAGTTCTCCTGGGTTCCCTTACCCTCCTGCTGTCTGCCCGGGCGCCCCTTCCCAATAAAGTCTTTTGCTTTGTCAGCACGTGTGCCTCCTCGGACAGTTCATTTCCGAGCATTAGAGAAGAGCCCACTCTCGGGCCCTGGAAGGGGTTCCCCTTCCTGCAACAGTGGGAGGTTGGATGGAAGGGGGCCTTGACCTGGATCACGGCCTGTGTGTGAAGGGTGGGCTGCAGTAGGTTTGGGATATGCCCATAGGACATCAGGTCCCACAGTCCAGTTGGCAGGAGTGGAGTCAGGGGAAGGGGCAAAGCTGAAGCCCCTTGGCATGGAGCTGATATCGAAAGCCCTGGTGCTGGGTGAGCCCACCTCGGGGAAGGAGGACAGAGTCGAGGACTTGGGTCCAGGCACTAGACTACAGGCCAGGAAGAGGAGGAGGAAGTGCCCAGGAGAGAGGAGGCTGGCCCACCTGCCACGCCTGGACTTGCTCCTCTGCCTCATCGTCTTCTGACCCTCAGGGGATGGAGCCACGGCCCATCTGGAAACAGGTGGGTTCATCCGGAGCCAGCCTGGGGTCCCCCACCCGGACATCCAGTTCCACTTCCTCCCTTCCCAGGTGATCGACCATGGGCGGGTCCCCCCACAGCAGGAGGCTTACCAGGTGAGCAGGTCGTCTCCCCACTGCAGCAGGGCCTCCGGGGTGGGCGGCCCAGAAGGCGGTGCCCTGCTCTCCAGCTGCCCGGAGTGTCTGAGGGGAGGGAAGGGGGGTGGGGAGCCAGAGGTAGAGTGAAGCAGACTGCGTGGTGCACAGCAAGGCCACACCCGCACCCAGCTCGGGGCAGCTGCACCGGGTCCTGAGTACTAAAAATGGACAATGAAGCCGGCTCTGCCCAGGGACCGCCAGCCCCTGAACATGAGGCATCAGGTATAAAGCCAGGAAGCAGGAGAGAGGGACTGAGGTGGTTTTGATGCCTTTTGTGTGTGTTGGGGGTGGGGCTGGTAAGATGCAGGTAGATTTTAAAATGTATCTGCTCTTAATTGACTCTGGGTGTTGAGTCCCAGGGACCACAGGAAACCCGGGGCCTCTCTAAATGACTAAGCTGGGGGGTTAACAGGGGTCACCGCCTCTCTGGGCTCTTCCAGGTGCATGTGGGGACCATGCGGGGCACGAGCGTGGGCTGGCTCAAACTGAGAAGTGCCAACCCCCATGACCACCCTGTGATCCAACCCAACTACTTGTCAACAGGTAATTCAGCCACCTTTGTCCCTCCCAGACCTGGGCTTGTTGGGTCGTTGATGGATTGACTGCATGAATGAATGCCTTTATGGGGTTCATATTTGTCCCTGAATCTCACCCCTGGACCCCATTTTTGAGACACAAGTCACATTCTGTCCCCCCGCCACCCCATTATCCTGGGCTGTAGACGTGCACGTGTTGCTATGTAGTGCCCTCGGTCACTTGAAGTAACCCTGACACACCATTTTGCACAGTAGGCAGGATTTGCAGCTTCCAGAACAATCTACCAAGAGACACAAGGAGATCTGGCTGTGTATAGATAGCTCACAGAACCTTTTTCTTACTGTTCCTGTGAGTATCTTATAAAAGCAAATTACACTCCTGGGCCTGCCTCTTTATGCACAGCAAAACTGCACAGTCCCCACTGGGCAGGTTTTGCCCAATAATACTCACGCTGTGGCAGAGGCAGGACGTGTAGTCTTATCTCTATTTTATAGATAAGAAAATTCAGATCTCCGATTTAAATGTAGGGCCTCCGGGGCAAGCTGTGTCCGTCTAGGATGCTGTCTGTTTGGGCTTCGTGGGACTCTGCTTGGTTGCACTGTAACTGCTGATGGGTAGGTGACAGGCAACCTGGTGGCTTGGACCTCCATGTCCCTGAACCGTGTCCCCATGGGCAGCTTCCTGAGCCTCTCCCAGTGGCGAATCTTCCAGCGAGGCCAGCACGGTAAGAGGAGGCATGTAACCTGTTTCTTCTCCTTGACAGAAACTGACATCGATGACTTCCGTCGGTGTGTGAGGCTGACCAGAGAAATTTTTGCACAGAAAGCTCTGGCACCGTTCCGGGGGAAGGAGCTCCAGCCAGGAAGCCACGTCCAGTCGGATAAGGAGATAGACGCCTTTGTGCGGGCAAAGGCAGACAGCGCCTACCACCCATCGTGCACCTGCAAGATGGGCCAGCCCTCCGACCCCATGGCAGTGGTGGACCCGCAGACCAGGGTCCTCGGGGTGGAAAACCTCAGGGTGGTCGACGCCTCCATCATGCCCAGTGTGGTCAGTGGCAACCTAAACGCCCCCACCATCATGATCGCAGAGAAGGCAGCCGACATCATCAAGGGGCGGCCAGCTCTCTGGGACGAGGCTGTCCCTGTCTACAAGCCCAGGACCTTGGCCACCCAGCGCTGAGGCTGTCCCTGAGTAAGAAGGCTCAGCACAGTCCTTGGCGCCAAATGTGCTTTCCTGGATCTCTCTAGAATGTTACAATTTGATGGCCAAGAATTGGATAATTTAAGAAATGAAACCAGGATTGGTCAGTGAATCGGGTTCTTTCTTCCCAGCATGTCCCTGGGGGCCCTCTGGGGAAGGCCGGCATTCTGGCTGGGGCCCCTCCTCCCTGCCTCCTGGTAGGACAGCAAAGTGGACGGGAGGCCGGTGGAGAATGGGTAACTCTGGCCAGGTCCTTGTCTTGTGTTCCGCGGTGCTCTCCAACCCCGGGTCCTGCTGTGTTCCTGGGTCCTGATAGGACTTGAGGAAAGTGGTTCTCTCCCAGGCTCCCTCTGGAGGCAAGCCCGTCCAAGAGCAGGGTGCTTGCACAGAGGCCGGGGCATCCTCCCTCTCAGGCTGAAAGCTGCAGCGGAGGCCGAGGGTCCCACAGGAGTTAGGGAGCGTGGAGCTCAGCTGGGATGTGTGCACAAGCCTCCAGTGTCCAGAGGGAAAGCTGCCTGCTGGGAGAAACAGGGTTCTCCTTTCTCTGCCGCTTCCTGATTTCACTCCCAGAGTGAGGCAGGAACTGATGCTCAGTTGGGTACCTCTGAGGGGCTTGCAGCCCACCTCGCTGATGCTCTGGTTCTTATTAACACCATCAGCCCGATGAGAGGAATTCTGGGACTTTTTCCAGGACTCAGGAGTCTACAGGGCCTTTTCACTACCATAGGTTTCAGGGTTTAGCATTTTTAAAGATTTTCCTGTTGCCAGGAAACCTAGAAACCCAGAGCAAACCTGCATCCCTGGCCCGCTCCATGCAAAGCCTCCCTCTCAGCCTAGGGAGATGGAGGGCTCAGCAGTGGCCACGGCCGGCTCATTCACATTCTCCAGACGTCCACGGCAACAGACCAGGCGGGAGCCAGACTGACGGAAAAAGCAGTCAAGTAAAACTATGATCCTGATCCTGAAAAAAAAAAAAAAAAAACGCAGTTGAGTGAAAGAAAAATAAATTGGCAAAGATTTGAGTTTGCGGGGCGGGGGTGGGGGCGGGGGAAACAGATACAAAGTAACATTTAAGACAGCTCTCTGATCTTTAAACTTCTTATAATTCAATAATGCAATCCCGTAACTTATCTTTGAACTGAGACTGTCATTATCCAGCCTGTCTCTACAAGGTAATGAAAACTTGAATGCATTTTGGGTTGGTTTTTCTGACGATATCCAAAAGCCACTGTCTATGGCGAGAAAGAATGGAAGTGCTATATGGAAACCTGTCGTGCTGGACCCAGAATCAGGAGGGGAGGAAAATGGAACGTTCCTGGCTTCACCCTGGATCACAGTGGATTGAGGTGCCTTGGAGGCCCAACAGCTGCAACTTAACGTTTCTGAGAAAGATTTCCAGAAGGGTGGAAAGAAGAAAGCCATCACACCATCCTTCCTTTAAAATTCCTTAAGCAAACCTTGTTTCATCTTACCTGTATCTTGCTTTATTTTCGGTTCCAACGGAGGGTCAAGAAAGAAAATTCTACATCTGCCAAGAGATGTCTTTCTCCTAGAGAGGTCCCCACCTGCCCACAGGCCTCCTCTGGGTCTTGAAGCTGCCTGCGGGGGCGAAGGAACAGTAGGAGTGCAGGTGCCAGCCCCCTGCTCTGAGGGCCACGAAGTGACACGTCAGGTGTGCGGGGGGTCCCAGGCCTGAGTGTGACTGCGCTGACCTCCTCTGGCGCCAGTATGGCAGGTGAGATGGCCATTCAGTTCGGTCACCTCTGCGTACTGTGGTGCCCTCGGCCTCTGAGACAGTGGCTGATGCGCTAGTGTGCGTGTGTCAATGGGCAAAGCGAAGTGTGTAAGGGGAACCTGTACGGTGGATGGCACCCAGGCCCCTCTCCCGCCCTTGCTACGGGGCCTCCTTCCATGCGATCACATGACACTGCCCCCCCCCCCCACGTTTCAAAGGAGGAGAGCGTGAGTGTCGCGTATATCCAGGACCCAACAGAAAACTGCTATTGGAGTTCAGACCCAGGACAGAATATTCTGATCTGAGGTGGTTCCTCCCTCGAACCCTGACAGCTGAGTGCTGTGGCCACGTGGGCAGGGTGGAGCCAGTGGCCCGTGTCCTAACCTGAAGGGTCCACCACCACGAAGAAAGCTCCGACCTCAGAAAGAGAGGACTGTTGGCCAAGGAAGCCAGAGAGGGGAGGAAAGTGCAAACTGGAATTGGGGAGGATGAGCCATAGTCTGGCAGCCCGAGGGGCATGGAGACCGGCCAGCGCTCAGCCTCCTGAAGAACCAGGAAGACGTCGTTTAAGTCCCTTAGCAAAAAGCCTGCAGTACTCCCCAAAAGGAAAAACGTACATTTCCAAAAATGGTTGAAAAAGCCTAACAGAAAGCTGCAAATGTGCCTAGTGGTCAGAACACTGACCCCTCCGAAGAAGCCAGTGTTTAAGCTGCTGCATCAGGGTTCTTCCTGGTAGAGTAAGAGCCAGAGCACACAGCTAGAGGAGCAGCCTGCCCGCAGGTGACCAGGAAAGGGCAGGTCCCGGAGGTGGGACTCTGGCGCCTTAACGTCCGGCCTCGTGCGGCCCTTGTGCAGGCCGCAGGAGCCACTTCCACAGATTCAAATAGAGTCTTCTCTCCAGCCAAACTGTGTTCCTCCGCCCAAAGGTCATTTCAGATTTCCACAGCACGACTTACCATCAGATCAAATGCCTAGGTGCCTTTCTCTTAAAACCCAGAAAAAACACACACCCTTCTCCGCTGGCCCCGTCTTGAGACCCAGCCTCCCATCGCATCTCCTGCCACTGTCCCCACAGGGCGCCCTCCCAGCCATTCTGGCTCTCGTTCTCTGGTTAGAAGCAAGGGCCCCAGGCCTGCTCCTCTTCCTCGCCTGCCCCCCTAGGTCCCCAGTAGGGAAGGAATATCATTTTAGAGAAGTAAAAACTTTTTTTCAACAAATGAAGGCCATAGCTGGAGTCTGTCTTTGAGTCGGGGAGGCTAGTAAAGGAGTTAGAACTCTGTGTGTGATGCTAACCAGTTTTCAGGACAAACTGACCACCCAGCCGAACAGTAAAAACCTTTGCAGGAAAATAGGCAATGGGCAAAGACACTTAGGGCTGCAAAACATAAACACCACAGAATAAACTGCTCTGGTTTCTCTCACAAGCGTGGCATCAGCCGTAAAGTGAGTTCATCAGGCAGGTTAAGCCCATCCTGCACTGGAGAAGCTTCTGGGGCCTTCACAACCCACCCTTCCCAGCCACTGGCTGATTCTGAAACATCTCAGAATCAGGCTGGGAGGTGCTGCGTGGCCCGGTCGTCTGGATGGAAATCACAGAGACCATTTTAACGAGGTTCTTGCTGCCATTTCTGTTTCGTGATATTATGGAAAACACAAGATGAAAGAAACTAAATGTACTATTCCTGGGGACACAACAACATGACTTTTTTTAGGGAGTGGGAGGGGAACTAAAAAGGAGAGACATTTAATCTTAAAAGATTCCTGAAAGAAAAAAACCATGCCCTACAACTTCAATTTTTTCTTCCAAAGAAAAATTTAATGTTAGATGAGCAGTCGAAGCAGGCTTAATGCAGACAGATATTAGGAGTGGTGCAGCCTGTAAAAATGCCAGTTAAGTGCCGACCAGAAAAGATCACCGACTATACCAGAAAACTCAGTCCTGTCACGGCAGTTTTGGACTGATGACGGTAAGCCAAGCCACACGGTAAGAAAGACCAACGCCCGGTGGAGAGACACAGAGTCTGAGATGACGGTGATAGTGGGTTAGCCCTTCAGGAGAAACAGTGCTCTCTCTCTGCAGCTGGACTTAAGCTGCCATCGGCGTGAGGATAAGGAAAAAGGAGAAGGCGCCAAGAGGATAAGAAAAACATCTACATAATTACAGAAGTGCCCTCACAGAGCACCTGCCCCTCCCGAAGCTCTCACTGGCGAACACCAGCTCTTTGCGAGGAGGGCTCCCAAGTACAATAAAATTATTAACACAGCTTTATTCTGAAGATCATTTTGCATTTTAATAAAAAAGGATTTACGTCAGGAAATAGTCATTTACAAACCTTGAAGTGTTTTTGCCTGGATCTGGAGTAAGAATGTCTTAAGAAGAGGTTTGTAAGGTCTTCATAACAAAGTGTTATTTACAAAAACAAAAAACAAAAAAAAAACATTAACAGGTTATGTAATATTTTAAAACTTTGAACCAAAAATCGCTACCAGTCTTTTTGACTGCAGGGAATCCCTGCCAAGGTAACTTGACAAAGTCGGCATAATTCTGTGAACAGAAAAGGAAGCCTTGATGGGTCTAATGATCCAAAAGTGGGTTTTCATCGAGAAGTACAATTGGAGTGTGAGTGCGTTCTCATGAAAACTTCAGCCCTCATTCAGTTGCATATAAAAGCCCTCAAAGAGAACACACAGTACAGCAATGTTTTGTAAAAAGGCAACAATACGATTTGTACAGAGCCCGACGTCTAGTCCTATAGATCATCCTTTGCCCCCTCTGTCCCCAGCACTCCTTATTTCTTTCCTAAGACAAGCAGCCTTACCAGTCCCCAGGGGACAACAGCAGAAGGACTTCATTCACCTGTGCGATTATTTCTGCGCCGGAAATGTCCTGTGGGGGCAGCTGAGAAAACCACAACTATGAATGCCACCGGGTCAGAGTAACCAGCTCGACCTAGGCTGCAGTGTGCTCATCGGAGAGTTACTAAAGCAAAACAAAAGACGGCTGCAACCCATGGTGGATCAGAAGGTGCAACATCAAATCATAGAACCCCTGCCCCGAAAGAGACTGCAAATAGTCATCTGGTACCTCTTGTGTAAAGACAGATTTATAGTGACTCAAAATAGTTTAGAAAAATCTCTGTAGTGCCAAGTTCTTTTGAACTTAAAATTTTACCCCCAGAAGATTTCCACTGGATAGATGAGAATTGGCTCTATTTCTTCTACTTCTGTATAGCCCGAGTAAAAATACTAATAGTTTCTAGATTTGAGTGGGGAACTACAATTATTAGGACCCATGGATATTGCTGCATTTCAAATACGGTACAATAATTACAAAATATAGACCATCTCTTTACAAATACAAATTATAGTATATTACAAGTCATATACAGTAAATCTAGAATTTTTAAACAAACGAGCGTATCTAAGTTTACCTGGTTGCGAGTGCATTATTATTCCAGTTTACAGTTGCCCTTTGCCTGACAGTCAGAAACCAACCGTCAGAGTGATGCTCTCTCCTGTAAACTGGCGTCACGTCACAGAAAACCCCGTTTACAGGGTCCCGTTCCCCTCTCAGGATGACGGCTGGTAGGTAGGTCCTGACTTACACACTGTATTTCAGAAGAGCCGAACAGGAATCAGGAAGCAGTGTGTTTTGGGGGGAAAAGGTTTAAAAATGGATACGCTGGGCCCAGTGAACGTCTGATATGCTAGACCGATGGCTGAGGTAATGACATAGGTAAGGTGATCGTTATCACCTTTAAACCTTCCCCTCGTGCCCGCGGGTGGCGGGCCAGCGCTCTGGACAAGCGGGCAGGGCTTGTCCGCCCTCCTCGCTGGTCCTCTCCAGGAGGGCTGGACCTGCCCTTGCCCACAGCTGGGGCTGAGCGTGTGGGTGCGGCTGTCCCCTACCAGATTTATGGCTTCCTTGAGGCATGACATCACTTGTACAAAAGTCTAAATTGAATAGGGACTCCACACTGGTGCCTACATTTTCCTAACTACGAGGCACTTTTCCCCTGGCCCTCCGGCGCCCCACCTGAGGCCAGAGCCAGTCGGCCGCTCCCTGGGGGCTACAGGGTGGTGATGCAAATCATTTCATCCGCCAGGTCCTCCTCATCCCTCCCGGGGTCTGGCTCCTCGTCGCTATAGCCGGGCCCGAAGTCCTGGAGCTCGTAGTCCTGCCGGCGTGAGACGGGCCCCACGTCCCCATTGGCCCGGGGATGCACGTTCCCGTTCAGCAGGTTGCTGGCTGCACTCTCCATCTCGTCGATGGTTAGGTCACAGGCATCAGCGATTTCGTGTTTTGTCGCTGACACGAATTTTGGGTCCCTCGCATACCGTCCTAAGCCTTCGGATATCAGAACCTGTACAGGAAAGAGGATCAGTGGCACAAATGCAAAAGGACAGAAAAAGCACCTCAAGCAGTGACTGTATGATGTGCTCTGGGGACTCAGCCAATCATGTCTGCTAGCCCCCATACGTGGTAACTAAGAGGGAAAGTGAACGGCTTTGAAGATCTGAAGGACCTCAAACACTGCACGTGGCCCAACAAGAGTGCAACCCACCGGGGACAGATACTTCAGTATAAGCTAGTCGTATCTGCAGGAACAGCACACACAATCCTAGGTACAGCTAGCTGATGAAACGCGGCAGGGGTGCTGTTTTTATATTCATGCTTTAAGTACCATCCTGGCTGCTAAGAAGTGGGCGGTGTCCAGGTTCAGAAGCCAGGCATCTGGGCTCCGGAGCCCACCTGCCCTCAGAACCACCACCCGTTCCTGTTGCGCGCGGTTCTCCCCAGTTCCGCTCTCCCGTGCAGACTCCGCGGCCACACTCACCGCCTCCACCAAGCTGTCTGCGCTCCTCTGCTTGTCGCTGTTTTTGTTGTGGAAGCTGCTGGGGACGGTCAGGCTGGCTGGTGTGAACGTCCGATAGGAGACGCCGGGCTCGTCCGTGTACCACGAGCTGCGGTGCAGGGATGGTAGGCTGCCGTTGACCTGGTCCGGGGCCTCCGACCGCTCGACCTGGATCAGTGGGGTGTAGCATGGCGTCCAGTCCCTGTACGACGGGGTCGCTGGCGGGGTGGCCCACGACCTGGTGGAGTGGCTCGGCGAGTACTTCTGGGCTTTACTGGAATCTAGGCCGGCGACTGCCATGATCTGAGGAGAAAGAGGAAGTGGGGAGACCAGAGGTCCTCAGAGGTCCCGGCCTCGGGCCCCCTCAAAACAGACCAGGCTGGGGCTTCCCGGGTGGCGCAGTGGTTGAGAGTCCGCCTGCTGACGCAGGGGACGCGGGTTCGTGCCCCGGTCCGGGAAGATCCCACATGCCGCGGAGCGGCTGGGCCCGTGAGCCATGGCCGCTGAGCCTGCACGTCCGGAGCCTGTGCTCCGCAACGGGAGAGGCCACAACAGCGAGAGGCCCGCGTACCGCAAAAACAAAACAACAACAACAACAAAAAAAAACAGACCAGGCTGGAGGCGCTGTTTTACAGGGGCTTCAGAAGGACACAGCACACTGAGTAATTCAATGAATTGGCCGTAAAAACTTGGCTTTCTAGCAGACCATGTTTTCTTTTCCCCCAAACGCATAATATATTTCCTGTGACTCTTCCCAGGTAGGAATCAGTTGTTGGTGAAATTGCTTAGAAGCATGAAGAAACAGGGAAGACGCACAAGCTGTGGGGTATGAACATGCCACCCGGTTCACTCCGGGTTTGAATAGGGAGGTGCATTCAGGGCAAGCTGACTGCGCCCAGCGCTCGTAGGGAAACAGGCTGGTTCTCTTTAGGGCAACTCATCCCGCGGCCAGCACTCTGCTCAGAAGCACCAGGTAGGCACAAGCCTGCTTCTTCCACCTCCAGAGACGCCATGGCAGGTCTGCCCTGGCACCCACTCTGCAGAGGGGGACGGTGAGGCCGGGTTTATGAACAGCACAGGCCTGTGGCCAAGTCGGAAGCCAGGACCGCCTGGGGGAGGCAGGGCGGGGCAGCAGGGGACAGGGCACGGTCACGCACAAGCCCACAAAGACCTCCATGCCTACTCGGTGTGTGGCATGTGACGGCCAGGGCCTTCTAGAGGTTTGTCCTCCGTCCACGACAAAGCAGCACACAAAACAACATAAAAAATGGAAGGCAGCAGACTTCGTTGGTGGTCCAGTGGTTAAGACTCTGCGTTCCAAACGCAGGGGGCCCGGGTTCGATCCCTGGTCAGGGAACTAGATCCCGCCTGCCGCAACTAAGATCCTGCATGCTGCAACTATGACCCAGCACAGCCAAATAAATAAATAATTTTTTCTTAAAAAGGAAGACAGAAAGGCAAAAGGTTCGCAGACCTGAACAGAAACTCTGAAATGGACGCTCAGGGTAAGCAGCATACCATACCGTGTGTGCTCCCACCTGACCCAGACACACACGGACACAAGAGGACAGCAGCTCTGATGTGCTCTTTTCAGGAAGACAAAGTACCATATCCTTGTCCTGGAGGCAAAGCCCCGCAGGCCCTCCAGGCCCTGGGCTCCCTCCTGTCCGGCCACCCTGACAGGCCGGTCTCCCTGGACTACACCCCCCTTGCAGGCAGGTCGGAGGCTCACACACCCTCGTGACCCCAGGGCCCGGCCCCCAGAGGGCTCCGTAAATGACGGGACAAGCTCTCAGAGCCAAGGGCAGCACCGATTGTTCAGGGTCAGTCAAGCGGCCGCCACTCCCTGCAGTGTGGCTTGTCCCAGGCCTTGCCTTCAGTGCCGAGGAAGGGTGTGTGCAGCTAGGCTGAGAGCCCGGCTCTGGAAGCTGGCAGCCTGGGACTCAAATGCCAGCTCGGCCACTCAGCTCCTGTGTGAGCTCAGGGATGTCACCTTCCCTCTGCGATGCTTGCTCGTCCGTAGGACAGGGTTCACAATAGTTTCTATTTGGCGAGGTGGTCACAGGACTGAACCAGAGTGTTTGTGAAGGGTCCCCCTTCCCTCCAGTGCTGGCAGCCAAGGGGGACAGGGTGCCCATCGGCCCTGGGGGCAGGGCCAGGTGTGCCGGCTCACCTGTTGCTGCATCAGGTGCAGAGGCAGGGCCGTGCGGTGGGGGAAGGCGGGGGATGGCGGGAACTCCTCCTGGCTGCTGTGCCGGCGCAGGCACTCGAAGTTGAAGGAGGATCTCCGGGGGGCTGAGAAGTTAAAGCACACCGTGCAGCTGTGAAACCGGCCGTCAGGGCCCCGGGGCTCTGGGGTCAGGGCAGCCCCCTGGACATTCAGCAGGGGGCCCAGGAGGAAGCAAGCAAGGCATCCAAGTAAAAGCATTGGGCACCAGGGCGGGGTGGGGGGGGGCGGTGTCTCAGAACTTTGGGAGGGAGGAAGAAGCAGCCCGACTAAGGGATGTTTTCAAAAGAGCAAGTCAATTTCTCCTCCCTGCCACACCTGTTCTCAGGGGGAGGAGCTAGAAGCAGCCAGAGGGTGGCTGTTCTGACCCTAGGCCCCGGTCCCTGCACGCGGTGGGGACACAGCATTCCGGGTCAAGTACACGACGTCATTCTAGAATCCCAGAGACGCTTGCTGACTGCCCCGTTTTCACCTTCCAGACATCCTGAGTGTCTCTGGGGGCTGGAGCATCCTGCTGGTGCTCCTGTGTTATGTTTACAATTCTGTTTGCTACCTGCCCTAATAGCTCAACCAGGTAATAAGCAGATCCTTTTGTGGGGAAAGGCCCAGCTTCCCTAGCCCTGAAGACAGAACAAACAAGAAAGGATACCTTGAACTTTAAAAAATGCAGTTGGCTGCCCTGTTAACAGCCACTTTGAATAGAGGCTTATAAACAGGTCGAGTGATGACAAGATGATCCAGAACTTGTGGCTTCACAGGGCACCAGGCCCGGGAGATCAGTCTGAATTCTGGGCCCCGAGCACCGGCCAGAGGCCTCCCCAGGACACCTCCCCTCAGGCGCTGCCGCCGTGGAGCTGCCTCGGCAGCCTTACTGGTGGCCTGCGAGGCAGCGCTGAGTCACCTCAACAGTCCTTTCTTGAACTCTGCTTTCTAAGCTCACGGGGCATTTCTTATGCCCCGGCAACACTCCACACTCCCCTAATTCCTGCACTGGAAAACTGCAGGGACCTGCCTGGGGAGGCCCCCGGCATCCTGGGACCGCACACGAAGCTGCAGAGCCCGTTCTCTGGGGGCCAGGCTCCAAAAGCGCACGGAGACCAGACCGAGCCCTTGCCGGCCACTGCCCACCAGGGAGGGACCAGACAGACAACGAGCCCTGTTTCGCGGGCCCGACGCACACCGTGGGGCCTGCTGGGCCTCCTCGTCCAGTTGCCGACATGGGACACGGGCACCTGCCATCCGCATCAGACAGCCTTCCCACCACGCGCCACGCGGGACCGAACTTAAGTGTTCTAAGAGGAGGACGGGCCTCCCTGGTCAGCACCACCTCTCGGACCCTCCTAGGGTCAGATGGTGGTGCCAGAGGATGGAGCCAGGAAAGGAAAACTACCACCGCTGTCATTCAGGCAGCGCCTTTCAGTTTTGAAAGTGGATCCTCTCTTTTGCTCTGCACCACCGTCTCTAATGGGGGAAGTAATCCCGTTGTGGCTGAGAACACAGGGGCTCCGTGCTCTCCCTGCCTGAGGTCTGAAGGGATGGGCAGCAAAGCAAATAAGATGCATTTAATTTATTCACCCTTAAAAATAAAGAGGGCAGCCACTCTTGCCCGCTCAGGGTCCTTGATTCACAGAGGCGGTGCCCACGAATGGTGATTATCATGGCCACCAAAGGGAGAAAGGGGGGGTCACAGGAGGGCAGTGGAACTCACAGGGCCAGGGGCCTCTGTCCAGCCTCGCCTGCATGTGCGTCACCTGGTACTGATGGACCCCTGAGCTGCTCTGTTTAGCAGCTTCCGTTTGGGGCTGTGAAATTAAATATTAACCACGGAAATGGGTCTGACTACACTTCCCAGCAGGGCTATGACAGCTGGAGGGAGACAGGACCTGGGTGCCACCCAACTGCACTTGTTGCTGTGCACTAGACGGCAGACTCAGAGCCGCTGTGTCTTGGTTAGTTTTGGTTACTGATTAGAGTCCTACCCCAAAGTACGCCTCATTCTTCAGAAACGCCAGAAGTGGACATTCTTTAACCAGCATCAAAATGTCCACGTGTCCAAAATCAAACTACCCAGCCAGGAACTGGCAGGGGCCACTGCTCTGTTTCCTTCCCCGGCTCAAGTTCCTCACTGGGGGTGACCCAGATCTCCTGGTGGCACCACTGATGCCATCCGCACACGAAAACCAGGTCAGGGAGCAGCCAGCCCCTGCCCCTTCTCTGCAGGACGGGATTCCTTGGCCCCAGGGTGAGGTGCCTACCCTAGAGGTCACCACCAAGGCCACAACCTACCATGAGCAGAGAGCACTGGCAGACCAAGGCAAAGGTGGGGGAGAGGAGGAAGGATGGATACCAAGAACCCCCAGGTGCTCCTCAGAGGCATAGGCCTTGGTAAGAGGCCTGGGCTCAAGTCCACTCTGTGCGTGGGCCCATCCTCCGCCCTCTAAGGGGTCACTGCCCCATCTAGGGAGTGGGCTTATCAACGCCATGGTGCATGTCTTGCCTACCTGTCAGGGCAGATCCCAAGCTCAAAGGCAGCGATGAGGCGCACAGAAAACCCCCCGTCAGGTGCTACATACCGTGCAACTGTGGGGCCTCACACTGTCTCTCTCTGTTCTCAGCAGGAAGCGCTTTAAGCCCTACCACGTGGCACACAGATGGGAAAGAAAGCCAACAGCATCTCCAACTAGGGGGCTGGTCTCGAGGACTGGAGGCCCCCAACATGGCAGGACCACGTCCGTCACCACCCCCGGGCTGGGGCAGGGGGAGAGGCACACTGTTCTCTGTGAGCCTTGCTCCCAAACAAAAAATCTGGCCTCACATGTTGGGGTGGGAGGGAGCAGGCGTCTCCTTGGAGACCTCCGGGAATCATAGCAAACAGGTGAGTCGTCATCCTCCGAGAAGCTTTGGGGGTGATGGTAGCCTCGAGGCCGCTCGAAGTCCAAGCTGCTGCCTGGGTATCGGGTATAGTAGCCACAGCTGTAGCTCTGCCTGGTGATCGAAAAGGCCAGAAGAGAGAGCAAGGGACACATGAGAGCCTAATTAACAAGCCCACGTCACAGTCCTCTCCCCACCGCCTTGGACACAGTAGAACAAGGCAGCCCTCAGCTCCATGGAAAATCCTAGTTGGAGGGCAAGGGCTGCCACAGGAAGGTTCAGGACGGCAGACCTGCGATGAGTGAGGTGCTGGTGTTTTCCCTCCCTGGGGCAGCCTCAGGCCCCGGTCAGATGTGGACCGCCGATGCCCTGCAAGCTTGACTATCACCTGCTCGCTTCTTCCCGAGGGTCTGCCCTCGGCCGGGTGCTGAGCGGGGCGCCTGGGACGTGAAGATGCATGAAGCGCGGTCAAGGAGCTTAGCAAATACCTCATGCACGTGGAATTCTAACGCAGGCTGGCGAAGGTGGGCGCGGGAAGAGAGGGGCTCAGGGTGGGGCTCCGTGGGTTCTCGGGGCAGGGGTGGGGGCGGCATTTCAATTCCAGTCAGAGGAGGAGCAGGCCCTTGAAGGGAAGGTGGGATTAGGCGAGCACAGGTGGGGAAAGGGCATCCAAGGGGTGGTCGTGGTGTGAGCAAAGGCCCTGAAGACGGAAAGTCAGAATGCAGCTGGCTCAGAACCAGTGGCTGCAAGTCAGGCATCCAGGGAGGCCTGCGGAAGGCCGTGGCGCAGAGCAGGGTGAGGGAGGCTCGGCTGCGGCTGGCCTGAAAGACGAGGCTGAGGTTTAACAACATCTCAGACACCAGAAGTGACCTCACCACAGAACCACGTCCACTTCAATGGGCCACCGGTCACAGTGGGATGCAGTTTACAGAGAAGAGGGTGGGAGGTGGCCTTTGTCCCCTTGCACTGCCTGCTACCTGTCCTAAAGCAAAGTGTCCACTTTAACCTCATACCTGCCTTCTTCAGGACAGGAGCCTAGAGAGGCACATCTGCTGAGTGGTGCCACTCTGACCTCTTGTCCCCTCACCTCTAGGAGAGACCCCCTGATGGGAGTGCTGTCCACTAAGACCGACCAAGCTCTGGGCTGGCGAGCCGCTACACAGCGAGAACCCCCAGCCCAGAGCGCTCAGCGTTCAGCAAAGGCTCTCATTTCTAGAGCCTATACTAAAGCCTCACGGGTGGGCCCCTGGTGGAAATAAGTCAACAGGCCTGAAAAAACAGCCTCCACTCTGCCTCTCTCCAGTCCTACTTCTCCTGCCCCGACTTCTCCTGTGGCCTGGAGGCTGTGCTCCCACTTTGCTTCCCAGGACAGTCCCAAGGGCAGCAGCAGGTGGCCCGTGGCTTCGTGAGCAGGCACGGCCCCAGGGCCAGGAGACAGCAAGGCCTCCTAAGGTCATCCCGAGCCACAGAGCCCTCACCTGCTCCCGGTGGGCGAGCTGTCGTCCTCATAGCACTCCTCACTGCTGAAGTACTCCTGTTCCCCCAAGCAGCAGGGGTCCCTGAAGTAGCCGTGTATCTCTGGGTCTTCCCGGCAAATAGTTGGGAACTGCTCGTCTCCTGAGTCAGCCCTGCAGTTGGGAGAGAGGGGCCTGAGCGGCTGGGCGGGCGGCAGACTGCTCCTCCAGCGGTGCCTCGGCGGTGGCCACGGCAGCCCTGCCCGAGGTGCTCTGGCATCTCCCTGGGTGCTCCTGCCTCAAGTGGGGCTGGATCGTTGATGCCTCTGGCAACGGTGCTGTGTGTGTGTGTGTGTGTCTATGTGTGTGCGCACACACGTACCAGGAAGGGGTTTCTCCCCTAGTGCCTTGATGATGCTAGTGCCACACCACTACCCCCAGAGGCCTGAGAACCGAAAGAGTAGATGTAGTTTGGGAGTAGATCAAGAAAATGGACCTAGAGACCTGCAGTGATGGGCTCCCAGGCCACCTGCTCGGATCCCTGTGCCTCCTTACCCCGGCCGAAGGTGCCCTCAGAGCCTGGGGCATCTGACCCAGGAAAGGTGACAGGATTTTTGAGTACAGGATCCCAGGGGAGGGAGACTCTCCAGGACAACGTCCACCACGTTTTCAAAGACAGCCCTGCCCCAGGACTGTCGTGAGGTCTCCCTGAAACCCAGATGTCCTGGCCTCGGCCCTCAGGGAAGCCGGCCAGGCTCTGTGGCATCACTGCTCTCCAAACAGAGGACTGTGCTTCCTGCAAGCTCTTCACTCTGTCCCACCCTCCTCCAGCTCAGGTAACTTCTAACTTGAGATCATTAAACCAGGACATCTGTCCTCCCTGTCCCCAACACCATGACCGTCCCACCCACAGTCCAACTGGGTTCAACAAACAGGGAGCAGGGTATACTGCCCGTGGGTAGGGGGATGCCCAGGAGACAAAGGAGAAGGCCTGGCTCCTGGACTTCAGGAGGTGGGGGGGGGGGGTCACGCTTTTACAAAGCCTCCACAAGAGGCCTGACCCCAGAGAGCAGCACGACTGCCCAGCTCCACAGGCCGGGGGCTCTCCCAGCACCGCACTGAGGCCTGCGGGGCTATAGCTGTGGGCACGCTGCATGTGAACTTAGGTCCTTGGATGGTTAACACAGTCTGTGCAGATATGGATCTGAAAGCTCTGCATCCACAGCCCTGGGCTGTAATGCCCTGCACTAGGCTAGCTGGCTCCCAGGGCTTTCTCATCTCTCAGCACTCAGAGAGCCCATCTGGTCCCACTTAGAACACACAGTATTTAACACATAAATACAGGCAATGAGCACATACCTAATGTAAGTTTCATAATAGCGCGTTCTATCCAGGAAAGGCATAACACGGGAGGGAGGGAGAAGATAAAAGTTAAATATTTCTAGCAAAATTTAAAAAGCAAATATATCAAGCTACTCCCTAGAGCAGGGGTCGGCAAACTATGGTTCATGGGCTGAATACAGGCCGTCACCTATTTTTGCATGGCCCACAAGCTACAGAGAGTTTTTATTCTTTTAAAGGACTGAAGCAAAATCAAAGGAAGAAAAATATTTCATCGCACGTGAGCGCGTGAAGTTCACATTTCAGTGTCCACAAATAAAGGTTTATCGGGACACAGCTGCACCTGTACGCTTACATATGATTTATGGCTGGCCTCTTGCTAAGATAACAGAGGTGACTAGCTACAACAGAGAGTGTATGAGGCTCCAACCCTAAAATATTTACTCTCTGGCCCTTTACAGGAAAAGTCTGCCAGTCCCTAATTATGTGGTACAGTCGGGGAAGGTAGAGTTTGCAGCTGCTCCTGTGTTAAGGGGCATCGCGTAGAGCAGGATGCAGGGTGGCAGGTGGCCCTTTATCGTTTGGGTTCATCACATGGCCAGTTCCTGAAGAAGCTGTGACCTGGAGGCACTCACAGGTCCTAACACCAATGCCCGCAGGGAGCCTCCCACCTGTGCCAGAGACGGGAGAAAAACCTGCCTTGGGCTGACACTACATTACCAAGTGCAAACACATCTTAAACGTTACCTTTTAATACTGGACCTTCTTTGAGGCTCACGGCCATGCTTGTGGAAGGAATGATGCCCATTTTCAGACACATGCTCAAGGTTCCCAATGCTGGGCCGTTTTCCAGGGGCAGCTTTGGACATATTGGCATTATTGAGATTGGCATTTGTTGAGCTGGGAACTTGCTTTCCTATGGAATTATGGTTATGATGGTTATGACACACCGAATTTCCTGCTGGAGGAAACAGCGGTTTCTCAGTATCACTTGCAGGTGGAATTGAAGGCCTTTGGACATGCAGGGGACGGTGGGTGGTATTGGTCTGCTGAAGGGAATCTCTCCTATCACTATTAACATGATTGACATGGTTTCCAAGCAGGGCACCATTTCTCTGCAAAATAATGGGAGACAACACCAGGTAATTTAACAAATATTTGATGCAGGCTAGCTATGTTAGGTAATTTTTTTTCTACATGAAAAACAAATTCTAGGTAAGCTCCATAGAATCCCTGTAAAACAATCTGAGTGTCTCAGTGACCAGGGTGACTGTGTGTGTCAGCTGGTCCCCCTGAAATGAGGAAGGTTACCGATTCCTGAGCTGGGGAGCAAGCGCTCGGCTGTCATTCAAGTGCACTCTTCCGGTTGCTCCAAGGTGAGCTGACTTTCGCCCAGCAGGGCTGTCGGCAGCCCCAGTGGCCGAGGTTGGGCGGCAGGCAGGTCTCTGGGCCGGGGGCTGGGAAGTGGAGGGCCCGCTGGCAGATCAAAGAGCCGGCCCGGGGAAGGAGGGGTAGGGAGGGCCAGCGGCTGCTAGAAGGACCCAGGATGCTCATCCACGCCGGCCAGTGGTCGTGACCAAGCTCCTCCGAAGTGGCCAGTGTGGGGCAGAGGAGCAAGCTCTGGGAAGGAGCAGGCCTGGCCCTAGAAGGGGTGCTGCTGAACGGGGAGGGTCTGCAGGGGGGAGGGCATGGTCCACAAGCCCCTCTAGGCCCTGGGGCTGGTGTGCATCCTCCAGGCTCTTTGGCAGATCGTTAACTGCCCCAACTGGACTCCTGCCCCGCTATTTCCAAGTGGCCAGTGTGTAGCTAGGCGTGGAATAATTACTTTGAACACATCTTCTTCTTCTTCGCCTTTTGTTTCCTCCGGCTCGTCATCTTGCAAATCACATGAGATAGCACGCCGGATTTCTGGCCCAATGTCGTGCAGTGTCCTTAATCCCGCCTAGATCAATGAAAATGGCAAAACAGGTTAGACAACACGGGTGGCCTGGGCCCAGCCTGGGTCCTGGCTTTGCTCCTGCCTGATTCAGTTGTGGGAGGGGAAGGTTTCTCCAAAGGACAGTCCAGGGAACTGACCACTTGTTTGAATGTAACTGATGGTGTCCCTGCAGCCTCAGGGATGGAGGGTGTGGTCAGGAGTTCAAGATGGCCCTGGGCTGGGATGCTTGAGGCCAGTGACCGCCTTTTCAAGTACCTCCACTCGCAGGGAACAGTGCTTGCTTACTAGTACTAGGGTCTGCCATGGCCAAGAGCCCAGGCCCATGTCTAAATGACTGTCTACAGAAGGATGGCCTGCAGAGCGCCATCTCCCGGAGCCTCGGACGGGGCGAGGAGCACGGCGCGGCTGTTTTACAGAGAGGGTGGCACGCGCTCGCTGGCTGTGTCCAGGATGAGAAGCCTAGTGCAGGTGCCAGAGGGCCAGCAGACCAGGCAGCCAACTGGGCCACTGCTTCTGCTTCAAAGCCATGGGAACGAGGGCAGGACACAACACACTGCAGCCACCAGCACACTCAGGACCAGAACGCGATGGACAGACACGCACAGACCTGGGCTGCCGTGCAGGGCCAGGCTCCATGGCCATCTGTTGGCACCTGGGCCTGCAGCCTGTGTTCAGGTGGAGAACTCGCCAATGGTTGGGTCATCCTCTTGAAGACCACAACACACTGAAAGGGGCTCCAGCCTCTGGAGGCGGCGCCAGACCTGCCAGGTGACCCCTTCAGGCCCCTCACGGACGTTCTGCATTTCCCCGAGGCCCTCACGGCCGGCCTTCCTCACCCTGGGCCCCGGGTTCCAGTGGGACAGGGCCTGGGAGAAGCCCTCCCATTGTACTTAATTTCTCTAGGGAAATATTCGAGATGCTTATGGACTACCTATGGGGGAGGGGTGGTTGCTGGCTCTGAGAAAATTATGATGTTTTGACCAACAATTTGAAGAAAAATGGCACGCTAACAGGGAGAGTGCAGTTACTCTATCCTTGGACACAAAAAGACTGGCATCGGAAAGAGGCATTCCCTCCCCGTCCCCGGTCTAAGGTCACCCGTCCTGTACCCGGGTGGTACCCCCTCACCTGCCGGCCGTCTGCCTGCACCTCAGTAGCCACTAAAGGTGTGGAGAACATCTGAGGCACTGGCTGTGCGGGTCTCCATCTGCAGCTAACACCCCCCAGTGTGAGGGGGGGGACCACTTCCCTGTCCTTCCTCCACAAGCCCCGGCAGCGGGTGGTACAGGGCACAGACAAAGCATGATGACCACGTTTGAGACACGCCCGGCAGTGGAGGGGGTGGGAGGGAGGGGAGGAGGGGAGGAGGGGAGGGCGGCCCCCATCTTGCCAGATCCGGCAGGACCGAGCCCACGAGTGTGGGAACGCTCAGACCGGTCTTCTGCAGTCATATGGAACCGTCCAAGAGGCTCTCGTGAAAATGGCTTCGTTCGTAATAGCCCTCAGCCTACGAGAGGATCCTTTTAAAGATGGCACACCAGGCTGCGTCTGGTTTGAACCATTCTTTGCATACAGGAGCCCCAGACCTTTCCATTTTATGAACTGTGGGGGTGAACGAGCTGCCTGGAGTCAAAGCCTTAAGGTTCCCGGCTAAGAAGGCTGTGGTCTCGCAGGGGAAGGACACACGTGTCCCAGGGCCAAAGCCAGAACAGTTTGTGGTGTGGGCAGTGAGGCTGCCTCTCACTCACCTGTCCCTCTGCTCACAGGCAGCAGACACACGCACTCAGACGTGCACACACGTACACCTACAAGCACACACATGTACACGCATACACACACACACACACACACACACACACGCTCACTCTTTTCCTCTCTCAGGACCCCGCTTCCGGCACATCTGAGCCTGGGAAATCATCTGTCTTAGAGGCAGACCCACACCATTCTCAGGGAAACATCAGGAAGGCAACTCTAATGCCAAGTGGATGAAAAGCTCTTGCACAGCAGAGCTGCAGGCCTGGGCAGCAAGGTTGAGCCCAGTAGTACTGAACAGCCTGCAATTCATCCAGGCAGTGTTCTGTAGGGCACAGTTATCAAGGGAAGATAAACGAAGCCAGAGTTTCACCATCTGATTTTGGATCACTGGAAAGAAAGAGCTGTTACATATCTGAGGCTCGCAAACAAGACACCAGGTTTGAGACACCCGCTGCTTCCGTTGCCACAAAACACACACAGGTGACAATGCACCGAGTCAACATCCCCAGGTAAATTATGTACCTTAATCCATGTCCCAAGGCAGTGTGGGCCAGGAAAACTCTGTTTAAATAACAACAGATAATCCTGTTCACTGTCATTCAACTGACTGGACTAGGTCTGATTAGAAGAAATAGAAAACTATTTATTTGGATAATTTTTAACATCATCCTCTGTTGACGGGTTGACATTTCACTGAAATACACATATGACATAATTGCATAATAAAACCAAAAACTGTCTCCAGCATGTCTTCAATGATACACAAGATTAGGAGAGAGCAGTGAACAAACACAGGACAGAGAATTTGTTTGCAACATAAATCATGGAGGAAATTGAGAGGTGGCCCAAGAGGCCACGTCCAAAGACAAATAAGGACAACATATTTATTAAAGAGACATCAAAGGAGGAGAGAAAGCATCACTCTTCCCAGACAGGAGAGCAGAGGCTCAGAAATCATGATTATATTTTGCTTTGCTCCACGCAGGAAGGAACACACCTCCTAAGAGTCAGAGACTGACTGTACTCTTTCACAGGGGATCCGAGGAAGGACAGACGGGGAGGGAGGGGGGAGGTACTATGGGGAGTAGGGGTGTCTGCCAGGCTTGGGAATGAGGGAAACAGATGTTCCCAAACTTGAATTGAAACGAAGCTTAAGCACAGCACCCTGAATTTATTACATATCACAAAACATGATAATGAAAAATTTTCTAGCACACACATATCAAGCTAAAAGGTAGCTTAGGCTGCTCCAAAAATTCCATAGGCACAAGTTCCAATTCCCAAAGGGCAGAAGTCTATCTTAAACCCTTGAAAAAATGACTTTTTTTCACAGCCCTTAAAAAAAAAAAAAAAAAAACATTTTTTTTCTGGAAATAAACACTTTACAATCAGTAAAATTATCTATTCTTTCATATGTCATATCTGTGTCTACCCCATCAGCAAAATACTATTTTAATTTGAAATGTGGTCATTAGCATTTAAACCAACACAATTAAAGCCATATAAAGTCATTCCATTAACATCACAGTAGAATTATGGTTTTGAATAAACACAGAATTTCTATAAAATATAAACATTATTGATTTGTTTTAAGATGTCCAATCATATAAAAAACAGAATCAAGCCTAGTTTCTGGTTGATTTTTAAATGCTAGATGCTCTCATAAATATTTTTGTTAAAAAAAGAAATGTTGGCGCTTTGCCTGTAGACCGCTGCTTTAAATTTTAGACACCATTTAATTGGAATTTTATAGATATTTACTCTAGTGAATGATTAAGTCACCAAAAAAAAAAAAAAAAAACCCAAACTATAAAATCTCTGTAAATATTTCTGAAGCAATAGCATAAATGTATGATATTTTAACCTCAAGTAGGAACATTCATTTACCTTCCTTACTCTTGCCCACTTTCAGGGTTAAGTTTTTCCTACCTGGTGCATCTGAAATGCTTTCACTGCCTGTCTCCCTAAGCTAGCACCATCACTCACACCAGTCGTCTGCCAGCTCTCAGCACGTAGAAACGCCCAGGAACCCCTCCTGAACCTACACTGTAACAGTGCAGATAAGAGATGTGAGTCTCCAGTCGGGACTGGGCCAGGCCATCCATCTTCGGGTATGAGTGCCAGGCTTTCAGGCTCCAGCCAAAGAGCAGAGCCCGGTCTCTATCACAGGCAGGTCTCCCGCAGCCAAGGCCGGCCCTGCTCGGTCATCTCGTTAAAGGCGAGTTCTGGTTAACCCTTTAGCAGGCTTCTGCCCCTACCCAATTAGAAGGGATCATTTTAGACTAGCTCCCTCGGCACAAAGAACTGGAGATTAAATTCTCACAGCATACACCTGTTTATCTGTAAGCCATCCCACCTCCCCTGCATCCCCACATGCACACACAGGCACACCCCTTCTTTTGTCATTGCTCTCCACCAGGGAAAATGTGATGGTGTGGCCTCTGCATCCATTATGAACAGTCCTCGAGTTATATATAAACATAAAGAGCTAGAATTACGCGGAAGGCACGCCCCCCGTGAGTCATGCACAGTGATTCCGACCCTCCCTGCAAAGTCAGCTGTAACATTACCAGGTAAGTTACCCTGGGGGTGGCACTCAGCTGTGTACGTGGAGTTTGTTACCTTCATTTTGAAAGATAAAGGGAAGTTTAAAAAAATTACCTAAAGTGATCTATGACATTTCCCTGCGACTTAAAAAAAAATTATCTAAAGCAATCTGTGACATTTCTTCTGATCTGACAGAGCTATCTGTTTTAGTTCCACCTTAATTCTTGGTTGTAGTTTTAACACCAGCATTGGAGAAATGCTTGCCAGTTTCCTGATAACAGAGAGAGTTTTACTTAAAATGTGGGCTTAGCAGAAGTCACAAATCGAGACCTATTCTGCTAGCATCTTTGTCACTGCAATGTAACATACTTTATCCCACTACATCTTGGGAGGGCGGGCCGGGGAGGGGAGAGCCAAGATTATTCCCATTTGGTTAAGTGACCTGCCCACACTAGTGATGGCTCAGCTAGGGATCGCGACGCGCAGTTCTGCTGTTCCAATGACACCATGCCGCCCCGCCTTTTTGGGTCTACGGGGAAGAGTGCCAGGATCCAGTTCCCACCATGCGCTCACTCATGACTGCAACCCCACATGACTGTGGCTGCCACTCAATCAAGGTGAAACTTCTTACAACTAACTCAGCAGCACTCGTGTATCACGGCAATGACAGAAATCACCAGGTATCGCGAAAACCGGTCCTA